TTCCCTGTACATCACACCTGCGAAAATGTTACTTTGAACAAAGTTTAATGTTTATGTGTCGAATTTTCTATTATTCACGTGTTAATATGCATAAGAATGTCACCTGCATGAGCAAGTTAACCTAGAAACATGAAACAAAATAGTGGTTAAGGAATTGGCAGAAGTTGTTATTTTTATTTATGTAAGTACTGTTATGATTTCTTGAATTGATGCAATATTATTGTTTAAAATAACAGATTACTCTCCGGTGATTCTTTTTAAAGTGTAAAAGCATATGTTTAACAGAATATTATAATGCCGCATAACATAAAAATGTGACAACTTTCTGTTTAAAATCTATTTCACATTTGCTATGAATCTGTAACAACTTTCTGTTTAACATCTAGTTTATAATGAAATGTGATTGCTAGGACAATATGTCTTATTTATTTTTAATCTATAATCACTGATTTATTTGTTTGAATAACCAATATAATATGTTTATCGTCCTTTCTTATATCAACAAGTATAGAAATAGTATTGTATGCATATTATAATACCAGTAACTGTACTTCTGGTACTAAGGTTATGTTAATAAAGGTAAATGTTTAGTCATAAAGATTATTGAGATTCAATTTATGATTTTTCTACTGCGTGTCCCTCTTTAATATATTGAAGATGTAGATTAGCCATAGAGAGTTGATACGTATTGCATCATGTGAAATATTATTTCAAGTGAAATATTACTTTTCACATAATTATTTTATACTTCAATTCTACGAGTAATTTGAGATACCATTTTAATACTAGAAACAATGAAATAATGAAAACTGTATATTACCTTCATATTACTACCATATAAAACTTAAGAAATCCTTACGTTGGACAAAAAGAATTATTTCTGATACAAAAACATAATCTCTTCCAAAGTGAATAAATATAAACGAGCAAAATAGGATTCTAATATAGTTACCAATCAAAATTCCTTTTAATAATTGAGAATCATCATAAGTGAAGTATTAGATATTGATAATACTAAATACTTCATTTATGTTGATTCTCAATTATTAAAAGGAATATGTTTATTAAAGGAATTGTTTATCTTTCCTCCTGTAGGTTTGTTTGGAATGAAAATTGACAGAGATGTCTAATAATATACACAGAATTTATACCATTTTGATACTAGAAGCAATGAAATAATAAAAACTATATATTACCTTCATATTATTTCTGTATAAAACTTACCAAATCCTTGCATTGGATGAAAAGAATATTTTTTCTGATACAAAAACATAATCTCTTCAAAAGTGAATAAATATAAACAAGCAAAATAGGATTCTAATATAGTTATCAATCAAAATTCCTTTTAATAATTGAGAATCATCATAAGTGAAGTATTAGATATTGATAATACTAAATACTTCATTTATGTTGATTCTCAATTATTAAAAGGAATATGTTTATTAAAAGAATTTTTTATCTTTCCTCCTGTAGGCTTGTTTGGAATGAAAATTGGCAGAGATGTCTAATAATATATACAGAATTTATGCCATTTTAATACTAGAAACAATGAAATAATAAAAACTATATTTTACCTTCATATTATTACTGTATAAAACTTAACAAATCCTGGCATTGGATGAAAAGAATATTATTTCTGATACAAAAACATAATCTCTTCAAAAGTGAATAAATATAAACAAGTAAAATAGGACTTTAATATAGTTATCAATCAAAATTCCTTTTAATAATTGAGAATCATCATAAGTGAAGTATTAGATATTGATAATACTAAATACTTCATTTATGTTGATTCTCAATTATTAAAAGGAATATGTTTATTAAAAGAATTTTTTATCTTTCCTCCTGTAGGCTTGTTTGGAATGAAAATTGGCAGAGATGTCTAATAATATATACAGAATTTATGCCATTTTAATACTAGAAACAATGAAATAATAAAAACTATATTTTACCTTCATATTATTACTGTATAAAACTTAATAAATCCTAGCATTGGATGAAAAGAATATTATTTCTGGTACAAAAACATAATTTCTTCAAAAGTGATTAAATATAAGCAAGCAAAATAAGATTTTTATATTGTTATTAATCCAAATTCCTTTTAATAATTGAGAGTCAACATAAATGAAGTATTTAGTATTATCAATATCTTTGTTTATCTTTCCTCCTGTAGGCTTGTTTGGAATAAAAATTGATAGAGATATCTAAAAACATACACAGAGTTTATTTCATGAATTTATTAAGATAGCTTGGTGTTTGATTTAATAATATTGTGGAACATACTTCCGCATAGCTCGCGGAGCACAATATTTAATTTAACAATATTATTCAACGCATCTGCTTGTATCTCGCGAAGTAAACCTTTCTATGCGCTGTGGTCATTGTTTGCAAATTGTTTTCCGTCTTTCTCTCTGATATGTTATTTAAATTAAAAATTTGTGTCAGGTATTGCATCTCGAAATCCCGCATCGACGGAATGCCAATTTTGTGCGATTGCGGAACGTTTCGTTTAATAATGTTTAAAATCTGTTTTCTTTTTCCCCTTTTTTTATGATGTACGCTCTCATCGATTTCATCGTTTTGCTTTTATTCAGTGTTAACCTTCGGGTATCGTACATGAGATTTTTGTATTGGTTTGCTTTTAATTTGAACTCCTTCAACGAACCAGCGATTTTTCATTTTGCGAAAATAGCATACTTGTATATTTATTAATTCTTTTCCATTAATTGTATATCGATAATTTCAACTTCTTCTCTTTTTTAATACACATATTTTGGAGTGCCATCAATTTTGATTATATTTTTACCTTGAATTACAACAATGTAAATTATTATTGGTAAATTGTGTCGGTGAATTTTGTGTGAAATAGATTTGCATAGAATTCTGTATCAGTGTTTTCTCTCCGCTGCCTAAATGGCGTGCCGTAGTAAGAGTAATCATGTGATTCTGAACAACGTGTACATTCTTAAATTCATGTTAGTAACGGTTATTTTATCTTTCATTAAATGAGCAAATGAGAAGGTAAAGTGTTTAATATCTGCTATATAACTAAATGGTAATTCATGACTGATAAGGTATAAATAATTAATATTAAACCTGTTTCAATCTGCCCTCAGAAAAAGTTTGTATATACTGTGATTTATTTAATTCGATAATTATAAATTGCTTATAACTTTTGTACATAATTCTTATGCAAGTACATGCATTTTAATTTCAATTGATAATCGATCTTCCAAATTCAACTATGAACTACATTTTAGGAATTATTTTCAATTGTAAAAATTTCTTTTCAGAAAAGAATAATGAAATTAAATGACACATATATAAATGCAATTTTGAAAAAAGTCATTCTAAGGCCATTTCAATTTTTATGATATTTGCATTATGGAAAATAATATATCAATATTTAATTTTGTTCAAATCATTAACGGAATGGTCTATTTTTATTTCTGGAACGGTAGAACATCGTGACATGGATTCCACGATCGAATATTATTTTTAGTAACACACATTTTCATACATCGAATAGTCAATCGATCAAGTTAAATAAATCACCCTATATATTCTTGGGTTATTCACAGATATCTTCCACTTCCTTTAACTAAAAATGGAAAACCAACATCGGCGTTCCAAAAACAGGTCATAAAAGAGATTATGAGCCCTCCTCGTAACCGCGCGGCGTTTAACCGAACGCGATTGTTTCCGGTCGCCGGTGCGAAGCAATACGAAACGATTGGCTGGTTCTATCTGTATTTTCCTAGGATCACCCGAATTTTACGGGCGGCGTTCCGCTGGTTTGTGTATCGTTTGCCTCGGTGCCCGATTCGCTATGTTTACACGTGAATTTATAGTAATGCATTCTCGATAAGCCGTATCGCTTTAACGGAGCGCGAAGCTTCATTGAATACAGCGATCATTCCATCCGCCGGGAAAAATCGATGCTATTATTGTTGACCTTGTTCCAATTTTTATACCCCCTTAGTGACGGAAGAGCACAAAACTACCGGCTTCGCGGTTTGAGCGACGCATCGTTATCGACGCCTCTCGTAGGCCTTTGATGAAGTATAAAGTGCAAAAGGTTTCGCTTTTATTTATTTATTTATTTATTTATTTTTCTTTTTTTAGGAGGACCTTCGGTAAGTTTGTAATATGGATTTATGCCACAAGGTGAAGCGTCTAGGTTTATAGGTCAGTACTTTTTTTTCTTCTTTGGGATTGGTAATGGGAAAGAGCGAGTATATATTTAAAGACTTAACTATACATCATTGACAACTATTTCTGAAGAATATAAATTATTACGGATATAATCAGATATATGTTTAAAATTTTGGAATATATTTATTTATCAAAATACAGTATGAAGTTACTACGTACTATGTATAATATATAAATATCGCTATTTTAATATAGTATTATATTTAATATACAGCAGCTATAATATTTTAGTATACTATTATATTCAATATACGACTACTATACCTTAGTACATCGCTTTACTAAATTTTACAGTTTATATACATACACTTACTGATAGAAGTTAAAAAAACAGCGTAATCTTAATCATAACATTCCATACATCAATAAGCAATGAATTTTTTCGAATATAGGACCAGAAATAAAATGAATCGAAGAAATAGAACAAAATCTGCGTGACATAAGTCAAAAAACATATAAGGTGCTCACAATAAGTTGAGGTTACTGTGCAAACAAACATTTAGTTCCCTTCTGACATCGCTGAGTTTACATCATATTACAGTTTGTGTTAAACATGACAAGAAAGCAACATTAACAGACGCTGAAAAGTTGAAAGTTGAAAACTTGAAAATGTTTAGGAAGGAAACAAATTGACGTAGCAAAAGTGTTTAGTGTGAATCGTTGCATTAATAGGCTAGATCGTCGAATTGCAAGTCTCACGAAGTCGCATCCATTTTACAGTGCTTCTGAAATTCAAAATCAACTGGGTCTGGAAAACATTCGTAGCAGGACAATTAGCCGTCGTTTAGATGAAAGTAATCCTTCACGGAAAGCGTGCAAGAAACCACTTGTGTCTAAGAAAAATAATGCAGTTTGGTTGGAATTTACTAAAGGACATCTTTATTGGACTACTATTGGTAAAAAATTCTATTTAGTGATGGGAGTAAGATCAACCTGTTTGAAAATGACTGCAATAATAATGTGCGACGTCCTACTGAACAACGAATAAATCTAAATACTTGAAACCGACAGTAAAATTTGGTGGTGGTAGTGTAACGGTGTGGGGTTGTTTCTTGCATAATGACCCCGGTGCGTTAATACAAAGAGCAGCAATGGATAGATTTCTGCATCGCGACATCGTATAAAATCATATTATGCCATTTGCCAAGGAAGAAGTATTGTCAGGATGGTCATTTCTGTGAGTGTTGGTTTTATATGTGGTATACCAATGTGGTTACATAAGTGTAACTCATTTGCGAGGATATAAATATAATATGTCCTTGCAATCTGGTATAAATAGTGTTTGAAAAAGTGTATAGAAGAATGTGCCAGAATAAAACAGTTATCTGGGTCTCGGCAAAGGGGTAAGTAACGGTATATAAGTGTTCGAAAGTGAAAGAAGAATTTACTAGAAAGTGTCAATCAATTTTGTGTTTAAAATAGTTTAGGCAAAAAATTCTATTTAGTGATGGGAGTAAGATCAACCTGTTTGAAAATGACTGCAATAATAATGTGCGACACCCTACTGAACAACGAATAAATCTAAATACCTGAAACCGACAGTAAAATTTGGTGGTGGTAGTGTAACGGTGTGGGGTTGTTTCTTGCATAATGACCCCGGTCCGTTAATACAAAGAAGAGGAATAATGGATAAATTTGTGCATCACGACATCTTATAAAATCATATTATGCCATTTGCCGAGGAAGAAGTAGTGTCAGGATGGTCATTTCTGTGAGTGTTGGTTTTATATGTGGTATACCAATGTGGTTACATAAGTGTAACTCATTTGCGAGGATATAAATATAATATGTCCTTGCAATCTGGTATAAATAGTGTTTGAAAAAGTGTATAGAAGAATGTGCCAGAATAAAACAGTTATCTGGGTCTCGGCAAAGGGGTAAGTAACGGTATATAAGTGTTCGAAAGTGAAAGAAGAATTTTCTAGAAAGTGTCAATCAATTTTGTGTTTAAAATAGTTCAAGCAAAAAATTCTATTTAGTGATGGGAGTAAGATCAACCTCTTTGAAAATGACTGCAATAATAATGTGCGACGCCCTACTGAACAACGAATAAATCTAAATACCTGAAACCGACAGTAAAGTGGGAGTATGATCAACCTCTTTGAAAATGACTGCAATAATAATGTGCGACGCCCTACTGAACAATGAATAAATCTAAATACCTGAAACCGACAGTAAAATTTGGTGGTGGTAGTGTAACGGTGTGGGGTTGTTTCTTGCATAATGACCCCGGTCCGTTAATACAAAGAAGAGGAATAATGGATAAATTTGTGCATCACGACATCTTATAAAATCATATGCTGCCATTTTCCAAGGAAGAAGTATTGCCAGGATGGTCATTTCTGTGAGTGTTGGTTTTATATGTGGTATACCAATGTGGTTACATAAGTGTAACTCATTTGCGAGGATATAAATATAATATGTCCTTGCAATCTGGTATAAATAGTGTTTGAAAAAGTGTATAGAAGAATGTGCCAGAATAAAACAGTTATCTGGGTCTCGGCAAAGGGGTAAGTAACAGTATATGAGTGTTCGAAAGTGAAAGAAGAATTTTCTAGAAAGTGTCAATCAATTTTGTGTTTAAAATAGTTCAAGCAAAAAATTCTATTTAGTGGTGGGAGTATGATCAACCTCTTTGAAAATGACTGCAATAATAATGTGCGACGCCCTACTGAACAATGAATAAATCTAAATACCTGAAACCGACAGTAAAATTTCGTGGTGGTAGTGTAACGGTGTGGGGTTGTTTCTTGCATAATGACCCCGGTCCGTTAATACAAAGAAGAGGAATAATGGATAAATTTGTGCATCACGACATCTTATAAAATCTTATGCTGCCATTTGCTAAGGAAGAAGTATTGTCAGGATGCTCATTTCTGTGAGTGTTGGTTTTATATGTGGAATACCAATGTCGTTACATAAGTGTAACTCATTTGCGAGGATATAAATATAATATGTCCTTGCAATCTGGTATAAATAGTGTTTGAAAAAGTGTATAGAAGAATGTGTCGGAATGAAACAGTTGTCTGAGATTCGGCAAGGGGTAAATAACGGTTAATAAGAGTTCGAGAGTGAGAGAAGAATTTTTTCTAAAAAGTGCCAATCAATTTTTTGCTTAAAATAATTTATTTCGTGGTGTTTTCATTATTTAAATATTTTTATCTAAATATATTAATGTGTTAACTGTTAAGAAACTTAGAAGATATTAGTGTCCATGTCTGTCCACAATTTCAACACGATCCCAAACATTCTTCTAACATAGTTAAGATGTTTCCTGCAGAAGAAAGTGCTAATGTAATCAAGTGACCAAGTTAATCCCCGGATTTGAACTCTATTGATCATCTGTGGGATTACATTAGACGTCAATTGTTATGTCCTTTTTTACCAATGATGAAGGTTTAATGGAAAAATTCACGAAAAAATGGTCGGAAATAGCGGTTGAGTTTTGTGTTCGATTAAGTGAATCAGTGCCACGTAGATGACATGCAATCCTCAAATTCAAGGATTATCCAACATCTTATTAGACTGTTATGAAAATGACAGATATCTGCATATCGTTTTTATTTAAAGTGGATATATAAATTAAACAATATATGTTTCTTAACTTATGTCACGCAGCTTCTGTCTTATTTCTTCGATTCAATTTTATTGTGACCCTAGCACAATTGTGTTTGGAAAACACTCATTGTTTATTGATGTATGGAATGTTATTTTATTATGCTAGTTTTACTTTCAATCTGTTTATCTTAAAAGATAGAGAATACACCGGAATTCCTAAATGATTTCGTTGTTCCTCAACTTTTGTCAGTAAGTGTATATAGCTTATAACGTTGCTTCATAAATTAGCCATATGAATAAAACCACAGAATTGTGTCCTGTGCAAAAAGTCGTTTGATCCTAGGCCAATCGCGTCACATGATAACCTACAATCTTACGTTCAATTCAAATCCGTCTGACTAACTCACTACGTCACAGAAGCGAAACGAAGTGTCATTAAATAGTCTCATAATCGCGGCAGATTGAAATTGAAAAGGAATCATTATCGGAACACGTTGAATGTGTAATGGCGATCGAAAGATCACCGTGTTTTTCGGAATAATGTCGCGCATTACGAGGCAGCAGCAACTAGCTGGCGCCACCGTCGAGATATATAGTGTGCGCTCAGTGGCAATTCTTGCGTGGACAATAAACCGACGCTCCCCTCTACTCCGACCAGGGCCGTCGGATCGGTCATTCGCCTCCTCTTCGTCACTCGCTCGTGTTTCCCTACCGGTAATCAGCTTCAGTCCGGTGTACGTCGAATTATACACGCGCTGGGTAATTTTTACTGTTTTTTACGGACCCGGTGGTCGCACGACAATAATGTCGAAATCCTTTTCACGGCCGGTGCGCGTGCATCGAATGTCAACGGGCGCTTTCTGACGGCCCCACTGCGCTGTATCCGAGTGCGGACACTGCCGGTGTATTGCACTTTTGCCGCGCCAGTTAAGCGGCGTTTATTGCGCGATCAACGCAACAATCCGTGCCGACTGCCCTGGCCCATGTTTAACTCCACACCCCTACTCTACGCCCTCTGTGTGACGCGTGGCCGAAACGCTGATCGCGAATGGATGTGTTGGTGATATTTGGTATACACTCTGCCGTGGCGTCGAGTGTGATCGAGCTTCTTTGATGATCGGCGCCATTTATTTCAGGGGATTAATGCGTTTCATGCGTCGGTTTATATGATTCGGTGGGTTTAGTAAGGGATACGTATAATGAGCGAGATACTGTTGATATTAAAATAATTAAGAGGTTTTGTGGGCACGTATTTTTGATTTGGTCCTGACTTTATCTGAGTACTTATTTAAAATAATTATGACTCATAGAGACTTAAATATACGACATTATACCTGGTTCTCGAGAATTGACAGGAATATAAATAGTTGCACGTGAGCGATCAGAACAGTGCCGAAACGTAATAACTAAATCCCTACACAGCAAGAAAAAAACTAATTTCCTAAACAAAAATTATTCATCTTCCATATTATTGTGATATTATTAATCAAGTATTATTATATAATAAACGCAAGACATCTGGGTTTTTACATAGTTGTGTGTACGTTATTTGGCCCCTTCTTAGGGGCAAATAATAGGTTCAGCAACCACTCATATGCGGCTGTAGCGTAGATCGCGTGACTCTCTGTTGATATTTTCTGCAAAATCTCGTTGAATCGAGTATAGCAATACAGGAATGAAAGATTCGCCTCGTTTTGAAATGCCTGAAGTCCTAAACTCCTTCTTTTAGCATTCAGTATAAACTCATGAAATCTATATTTAATGCCCACTGATATTTCTGCCGATCCTCAACGACCAATAAACCTGCTAGCGATAGCAGCGTGGAATTATCTCGAGGACTCGAATCAGTCCCACGATTCGTCGTTCGAGGAGTATCCACGCGTATTTCTCAGACACGGTTGGTCGTCGTTTAGACCGAAATTACCCAGTGGTCTAGGGTTAGCGGTCGCGTTCCGTGGCGCGAAATTCACCGTACCCCCGGGGGTGTCTATGCCGGAGCGGATATTATTATCTGGGGTACTTAAGCTTTACGTATTTTTGCATAACTGGAAATTAGAAATAATTATTATTGCACCTTCGGGAGCGGCGCGATACGACGAACGCTCTTGCGAAACCGAGTGCAGGCTTCTCGAGTGTGAACCGCCTGCAGCGGCCGCGTCTTTCTGGGATTTATTTGGAAAATAGAGAAAAGCGAATCTGGAATTACATACCGAGTTTTTACCGCGGCCGTTTCCGTGTCGCGGTAAATTATTCTCGCATTACTTTCGCCGTTTTTTCTTATTTTCTTATGGCGCTGCACTCTTTGGACGAATATTCGCGTTCGTCTTCAATTTGCGACTTATTATCCTGAATGTTCTGGATTTATACCGGAGATGAATAACTTAGCAGAAAATTTTAGTAACTTAATATTTAGTCCATGTTTACGTTGTT